ATATCTAATAAATCTATCTATATCTATATCTATCTATCTATCTATCTATACTATATATTATGGCAATTCAAAAGTAACTTCTTGCCACATAAACACTTGGAGAAATAACAAGTTGCCTAGGTGGATATTTTTTTACTACCAAATTTTTTTTATTATTGATATATTTATGAAGCTATCTCTCTCTTCTTTTAGTATTTATGCTCTCTTTTACTCAACATTAATAATAAGTTACATTGAGAATATAAATAAAAACAATCATAAATAATAATATTTTCATCATTTAAACAAAATATAAAGATGGAAACAAAGAATGACATATATCGGGTTTGTTTAAACAAAAAAAATATATGATTAAATCTTATCAGGTGAATTATCTACTCATTTTAACCAAAACTTAACAATAAGTTACATTTTTTGTGAAAAATTTAAAGAAGTACATACATAAATAATAATATCTTTGTCTATTAAATAAAATACAACGACGCAAATAGACAAATCAAGCGTTTGAAAATAAATCGACTTTGAAAAATGAAATATATGAATTTATATATTAAACCTTCTCTTCTTTATAATATATATGTCTACCAGTTAAAATAGTTGTTATATAAATAATTATTTCATATAATAAAATAATTGTCAGAATATAACTTGATTGAAAAATAATAATTATTTCTTAAAAACATTTATATTTATCCCGACTAAGTGAAAACATATATTCATGTTCTACCTGAAATTTCTCAAAGAAGAGTAATCACATGTCCAATATTTTATAATATGGTTTAAGTTCCCATTAAAATATTTGATTTAGATGATTTGGTTGAGCATGCTCAATTAAGGTCATAAATAATATGTTAATAATTTTTTTTTGGATTTAGAGTTATTGAGGATTATACATCAAAGTTTTCAAAATGACTTAAGTATGAGTTTTGAAGAACTTTGACCTCATACCTTAAGACAAGACACAATATACCTTAAAAAATGACATGTGTGAATGTAAAAGGAATCTTTGTTGAGAATATACGATAAATATCACGTTTCATCAATCACTAACCTAGGCATTGATCAAATAAGGATTGAAAATTTTCATTTAATAGTTGAATATCTTTTTGACAAATCAAAATTTGAGGATTGAGACAATAAATAAATATCAGTGTGTTAGTTGAAATATCTAAACAAAAAACTTTTTTAGTTAAAAGAATCTAAATCAAGGTATTGGGTTAAAATGAAAATTTTCTAATAATGATGAGTTTGATAAGGCAATTATAATTAGTCATTTGGTTATATGGTGCGAGTCTATGACTCCATGCCAACTTTTGGCAATAATTTTTTTTTTCAATATCAAAGAATCAAATAGGAATTTTCTATTTTGTAATAGTAAGCAATTTGTATTACAATAAATTTGTCTACAATACATCCAAGAATTCAAATATATGTGAAATGTCACAATATTTGTATGAATTCTTAAAGTTTATAAAAAATTTCAAAAAATTATAAATCATCATTACTTAATCTTATAGGAATTTAAACTAAATTAGTGTTGCATCAACAAATGGCTAGCTCTCACCCTTCTATAGTGGACAAGTTCTAATTCTTGCTTATATACTTTTTTGTTTACTCTTTAAATTGTCATCATTATAAATAAAACGAGAATTAAGTTAATAACACGGAATGCGACATTTTGCTTTGTTCCTATCCCTTTTCTTATACAAATTATCTCTATAAAAACAAAGTGCAACATTGAACATAAAGAAATTGGATCAAACCCAATAAAAACAAACAAACCTCTCTTCTTATTTCCTCAAAATCCTTAAATTTATAGCATTTCTTTTCTCTACTCTTTTTCAAACAGATACAGGAACAGAAATAGTAAGGCATATTGAGTTTTTACTCTTTGTAAGAGAATATGAGGGTGGAGTTACATGAAACAATGATTAGATGGGATACAATTGAGCATCTGTAACATATGTTTACTATTGACTAAAAAACTTCATCCTATCATTGCGAAGATGAATTGAATGAAGTCGATGATTGCTCATTGCTCCCTCTTCACCCTTAATCTGTAGTTGACAACTGGTCTCTTTTTCCTAAAGATATGTGGTTGTTTGCGGTTGACTGGCCATATTAAACTCTTCTTTCCATTTGTTTCTTAATTTCTTCCAGATTACAACGGCTGGATGGTAAATTTCCCTACTCAAATAAATGAATGTATTTCTCTTGGTTTTTCAGGTAGTTGTTTTATGGTTCTTTATGTTGTATACTTTTATGTAAACATGTAATAGACAATTGGAATGGTTTATTGCTTGGACTTAGAGTATCTCTCCTTTGGTTGAATAATTGATCATTTTACTTGCCTATTGCATCCCAATTTCGTGGATTATAAAATGGAAAGCAGAGTTGTTAGGATTGTTTATTATGTTCATGAGTGACATGCTACCAGGTATATGATTATGATCTGGTCAGTAAGTAAAACGTAGCAGGGGGTTATAAGTAGAAGGGAACACATGTGAGGATTTATAAAGGTGCGAAGAAGAAAGAAAATAGTGGTGGTAGTCTCTAAGCTGTCTTTGTCGACGTTCTTTCAATTTCTACACGTTTGCAATGACATTTGTTAGTTTTCTTAGCGTGAACTTTTTCCTAATTGAATCTCTAACTAAAACTCGATTTTGGCCTTATCGTTTTCTTGACCACAACTATTTGGATTGATGCATCAATCGTGTTCATGAATGAAGATTTGACAAGATACACAAGATACAATGCGTTGAGTTTTATTGAAGTATGCAGCTTTTACAATTCGTCTATGTTGTTATTAGGTAAAAAAATACACCATTGTTTTTTTGAAGGTGGTATGTAGCTCTCTACAAATATAAATTGTGTTTATATGCAATTTAGTTTGCTGAAAAAATATCATTTTAATAATTAGTGACAACTAATAGTTCTATTTTGGTTGGTTTTGCTAGAATATTTTGAAGATAAATTAAATGAATAAGCAGAAGATTGATGATGTGGATGCTAATGTGTTTCCTCATCCTTCCAAAATTGCACAAGTAACTGATAGTGTACGATATTCGTGGGATTTAGAGCGCGATATTATGTATTATCATATAGCAACATACGAGAAGGGAGAAGAAATAAAAAGCTCTTTGCTTATTTTTTTATTAATGGAAACATATTTGCTTATTTAATTTTCTTAAACTTCTTTGTCACTATTGTGTGCTAAAAGATTAATAATCTCTTATGTTTATATTCTAAATTTTGGGTTCGATACAACTTATAAATAAATAAATAAAGGTCTATCGTGAACTCATTTAATAAAATCAAAATTTTATAAATAAACAAAAGATATAAAAGTGTGTAACAATAGCTAAAATCAAGTAAGTGAGATTAATAATTCAATATATAATAGTTAAACATACATAAATCATGAAAAAACAATAGAACGAAAAATAAAACACCAATATGAATGCCCGCCTAACGGGCGGATAAAAAGCTAGTTATAGTAAAAAATTAATCTGCTAGAAAATGGCACTATGGCCGCCATTTTTGGGCTGGTCTCCAAAGCTCCACTTCTAATTTCGAGTACATGAGTCCCGATGTCTTTTGCTCGCTCAAGGATCCACTAAGATGTTATGGCATGCAAATATAGAAATATTGTCCAAAAAGATACCCAATGTATAAAACAACACCTAGTGTTTCTAAATACACATTTGAGCAAATATCAAGAAATTTCAAGTAAAAATGATTAAGGATATACAAAAATAATATACAATTACGTGTCGTCATCCTGCGCAATAGAATAAACATATACAATTACGTGTCATCATCCTGTGCATATGTCCGTTTCTAACAGAGTAATTATGGTTCTTATATAAAAAGTTAGAACTATAATATCATAGGAGAGATAGAGAACAAGACATTGATGAAAAAATTCTCCTTAGAATGTTTCTTTTGCCTCTCCTTCATTCATTCGAGCCCCTTTAATAGAGTAAAAGTCCCAAGTTCTAAAATCGAAAATTACATCGATTGATTGATTTTCCTATTTTCTACTGATATCCGATATTGACGTGATCTCATTTCTCAACCTACTAACCAACTGAAGCAGATGCTAACCGATGCGGCTAATAAGATAGCCTCTAGCACAGTACTTATCAATACCAAATTAAAAGAAACTATAATGCCAAATTGCCAATGGAGTAGACGTCCTGGGCTTGGGCTCCAACGTTTCAGACACTTGAGAATGAGAAGCATTCTCCACCGGCGTGGGTATAGGGTACGTATGCTTTATGGCTTCTCCATGGACTAAGAGTCCATCATATTAACCCTACAAAATATAAATGGAATGATATTTTTATGAATAATGAAAATACGTTCCCAATAATATTGCTTCAATTCTATTTGCTAAATGGAGTAAAGAACTTTGGTCGTTATGGAAATAAAGATATCCATAATATAAATGGTTACGTTACGTTGCTGAATGAGTTGATTTATATTATAAGTTATAACCTCTATAATCATAATATGCTATGTAACTCTAGGACAAGACATGAGTGAGGAATTTTTTTTTATCCATGTCTGTTTGATTCCCAATTTCTTTTTTCCTTCTCTCGTAACCGATAGAATTGGAATAACTGCAAGTACAACATTAATAATTCATTTACAAATTACAAAAATGTGCAAACCAATTATATATGTTATATATAGTGGAGGAATTATTGACAAGTTCCTTCAAAATACAAACATATTACCACCTTCTGGAAGTGATCGAAAGAAGATATGGATAATTGGACCAAGTTTTATCAAATTTTATTTTTGACATTGTTGCTACAAGGTGAAGTTATTTACCTTTCAATATATGTCTTATCCAGTTTTCCCCCACATTATCAATAAAATATTATATCAAAGCGCGTAAATTTGGAATTATGTTCTTTCTGAAATTGAAGTAGATAGATCAATTGACGAGCAAAGCTATTTACTTGACAGGACTGGCAGTAAAAGCAGAAATAATGCCACCAAGCTGCACAAGGGATGTTGATTGCACATGGTACTGCATCAGAATTCAACAAGGGATTGCTCTTTGCAACAATCAACGCTCTTGCATATGCTTGCCAAAAGTGCATCATCGTCCTCATTTTATTTACACACCACAGCCTTCAAGCCCACTGCCATCGCCCTAACCAATGTGTCCATTCCATGCACCCTTATTGAAATGTAAAGTAAAGATAGGCAAATGAAATTTGCCTTCCCTGTATTAGTTGCCCTATTTAATTGTAAAAGGTCTAAATATATGTGTCCTTTATAACTCAGCAGAAAAAAAAGAGAGAAAAAGGCCAAGAATCTGTCGATTTCACATGTTACCAAAGCAATAAAGAACTGCTCATGCTTCCAAAGTCTTGAAGATAGATGAGCTAGTGATAACACCCCAATTGGTGTTTTTTTGTTTTTTATTTTTAGGTTTGTTTTGTGCTAATTCATGTGTATAATCAGAAGCATATCATTGATTGCATTCATATTTTATTCCTATTTGATTATGTCGTGATTTTAGGGTGCTTTAATTTTGACGATATAGGTGAATTAGGTACGAAAAATGGTATAAGTGTAGCAAAATGGGCAGGAAGCTGATGATCACGGCATGAAGGGAAAGATCTCGGCCGAGAAAGCAGACTGTGAAACAGAGGTGAAGATCGCATTATGAGAACCCGAGTTTGCGGTCGCAAAATTGGAGCCTTTGGACGCGAACTTCGTGAAGAAGCCAACTGAGAGAGAAGAAAAAGTTTCGTCATTATGATCACGGTCACCGACTCTCTTGATCGCGAGGAAGTTTGTGGCAGAGACTCACGGATCGCGATCGTGAAGTCAGCCCGCGAACTCCCAGCAAACGAAAACCAAAACGGCGACGCCTGAAGATCGCTGTCTCGGAGGAAAATATCCCGACCGCGATCTCCCCCTGTTTGGCCGTGAACTTGTCCGTCCCCCTGAAGTCTAAATAAATTACCTCTTCCCCCATTTTAAGAGAGCTGATTTTGAGATAGAAATGTCTGGTTTAGGGAGAGAGAGAGAGAGAGAGGAGTCATATTCCTCAACATCAAGTCTTCCCCAAATTCTTCTATGTATCTTCTTCCCTCCTTTATGAAGTAGTCTCTTAAGGGGTACTAGGGGTTCTAAACCCCAAACCCTAGTTTTAGGGCTATTATGTAATAAATGAATATGTTAGGATTTTGAATGAATTTGTTTGTCTAGTTGATTTTAATGCTTCATCTACTTTAATTGTGCTTGGGTAAGTCGCCATAATCTTCTCTACTAGCATACTCGAGCTTCTACGCTGAGTATGGAGTTTTAGCGTGAGACTAGTATGCACCATCTGTCAAATTAGGGTTAGATGATTGAATATGGTCTTATGGTGGATGAGGCGACCGTACCCCTGCCACAAGAATACCTTCCTAGATGGAATACGGGATGAAACCTCGGTTGGAAGATGGGTAGTACCCTTTGAAATGAGCTAAGTTCTTCAAGCCCCAGATACGTGAGCCTATACCGAGGTGACAATGGGGTAGGTAGGGCGTACTTGGAGGCGTGTGGATAATCAAGAAGGCGCACGGAAAAGAGCACACTCACCACATTCGTTTAACCCAACATGTTTAGTCATTTTCATAATAGACCTAGGCTAGGGCGATGATTGGTTCCCCGACGTACCTGCTTTTATCCTTGTTTGTTCTCTCTACTAATGATTTCACTTGAATCCTCAACACAATCCCCTTAAATTGATTGGCTAGATGACAACAACGTGGGAAGTAGACTAGGGTACCGGGACCCGAGTAAAAACCAACTTGATTCCCCCTATATGACAATGTCGTTTTAAGTTAAACTTGGCATAGAAAGGGGTAGTTATTGATACGTGCAAACTACTGACAATGACCTGCACAGAATGAATCGATCATGCTTTTTGGCGTCGTTGCCGGGGGACCTCGGTAACTAGTAGAAAAACATCGAGTTTGTTAGTTTAGCTTTTATTTTCTTTGTTTTTTTGTGTTTTATTATCTTAGTAGTTTAATTGTTTTGTGTTTTGTTATCCAACTTTGTACGTCACGAGTTGTGGACTTTTTATATGTTTATAGACCTTACATCATGGATTGAAACGATTTGGAACGCATTGTGAAGAGGAATATCAATACACTTCGCCAACAACATCAATTCCTAGGAGGAAATGGCAAAAGTAATCTCGATCATATGTCGTACTTCTTAAGTGCTGCCAAAGCTGTGAGGATACCAGGGTACAATCAAGATCAAATCAATGATATTTTATTTGGTTACACTTTGCGAGGGGAGCCCGCCGTTTGGTATAAGGAATTTCAAGCTACTTTCCCACTGTTGAGTCAAGTCATGGAAACTTTCATGTATTGATATCTTGCCGGTACAATAGCCGTTATATAGAAGAATGATACTGTCACCTTCCACAAAGAGTTCAAGAGAATTTCCAATAGGCTTGGGAACGTTTTGGTGTTCTGACAGAACTGAATTCGAATAATGGACATTTAGAAGACCGCCTCAATGAGAGTTTTTTCAATGGACTCCAAAAAAATTACAAGGCGATCATTGAAAGGAGGTATCCAACTCGACTTTGATATAATGACCATGAGCAAGTGAAGGAACTATGCAGTCAAATAGAAGAGGAGGAAGCTAGCCTAGCTAGAGAGTAGGCTATTCAGAGTGAGATGAACGAAATTAGCAGAGAGTTAAAGGAACTTACGAGAGAGGGTGATAAGGATTCAACTCGGGTAGAACAAGTCTTCACACTCAACACGAGAGTACCTCATCAGTCTAGTCCCTCTCCCCCACCTTTAGAACATCCTCAAGACCACACCACTAAAGAACCTTGTGGGTCTTTCCGAGATTTGAAGCGTCGATTCGAACGTTTGGAAGAAAGAGCATCGCATTGGGTTTCAATTTGTCATGAGCGAATGAATGATTTAGATCCATTTGTTCATGCCTCTATAGCACAACTAAATTCTTCGAGGGAAGAGAACAAAGTAGTCGTGGACACCCTAAAGATTATGTCTGCCTTAGTTGGGCTCCTGGAGAAGATTTTATTTGAAGGAAACCAAAAACCTGAAGGGAAGCAAGGTAAATCATCAAAGACTGAGATGACCATTATTCCGGTCCCATGACTGTCAACCCAAATGTGAAGTTTGATCAAGGGAAGAAGGATGGCGTAGCCCGAGATGTTTCACCATCTATACCGGCCATCCAAGAAGCCTCAGAGCTCACCAAGTATTTAGAATGCATAGAGCATTTGGTCGCCACCAAACAAGAATTCGACGAGCTAACAATTATTGACATAGGGCATGCTTATCCAGTGTGCAGTCAGCATGAAACCCCAATTGAGAGAGACAACCCGTGCTTATGCACCGTACCGTGCTCTATTAAGGGGGTTACTATTAAAGATGTTATGGTGGACCTCCTCTCGGATCTCAATGTGATAAGCTTTGACTTGTATCAAGCTTTGAGGTTGCAGAACCCGAGACCGGCAGACATGGCCATACAATTGACTGATAAATCAATAGCTTACCCCGTGGAAATTATAGAGGATTTATTAGTAAGAGTTGGGACGTTTGTTTACCCGCTGGACTTTGCGGTGGTGGATGCGGGACCAAAAGCTCCGACTCATATTTTACTTGGAAAAACCTTCCTAGAAACCATTGGAGCTATGATTGAGGTCCCAGCAAGGCGATTAATCATGGATTATGGTGATGAGAGGTTGATCATAAACCTCTCCAATGATAGACGAGGAGTTTCACCAACGTTCGCTTCTTATACAAGGTCAAATTCTCCAACTACTCAAATTCCTCCCTGTAAACCAATTCTGGCTCCTAGTCTAGCACAACCTCCTCAAACAAGCAAAGAGGTACCCCTAGAAGAGAGAAAGGAAAATGATCTAAACCTTAGAAGAGTTTTTAAGGAAGCCACCCAATCTTCAACCCCTAATCAGGATGTCGCACTGAATTTAACTTCAGAGTCATTAGTCAAGAGGAGCACCGAAAGGTTCCATGGGTTGCACTTCGGCCTTCACCATACGGGTGTTTTAATTTATCGACACCGCACACAGTGATAGGGAATCTTTCACTTGATTATCTCTCTTGATCAAAGAGTTCGTCGAAAAGACTTCAAAGACGCACTTGTTCGGAGGTACCCAACACTTCGGTTTGTTTTTCATTCACTTTATCTCCTTAAATTACTTCTTTCTAGAACTGCTTTGATTAGGCGCCCTGATCTGGTACTCTAAACCGCGAAATTTTTGTTAACCTCTAGCCAAATGGTTGCTACCTTGTCATGTACCTAATTTTATGTTTTGGCAAGATGTGTTTGTGTACTTGTCTATTCTTTCCTTGTAAAACCCTTACTTTATATTACAAAACGAAACAATAAAATACATCGAGTTTAAACATTCTCGGGCCCGAGCTCTACATATTTTTCTTTTCAAACTTCAAACCATAATTTACATTTTCATCAGAGTCAAAACAGAAAACCGGGGAAGTCCGCTTTATTACAAAATCCACACAACATAAAACATTTAAGGAGTTCGGAGTCCTCCGCCCACCTCATGGCTTCCCTTCACGCTTGAGTCCCGATATCTACGGTACAAACCTTACTTCTGATATTGATCTGAGGAAAAAAATGATGACGAAGGATGAGTCGTCGCTCAGTGAATAAATTCTATGCTCAGATCGACATCAATACAAAAACAGTATTGGGCAGAAACACCCTAGCACATAACAGGACTTAAGCTGTTTATCATACTTTTCATTCCACTGAATCAATCAAGTTCACATATTCACAACCCATCACAGTCAAAACACATACAACGTGTGTTAGATAGAGGCATTTTGCTTATACAATTTCACTTTCAAATTCGCTAAATGATATACTCCTCGGGTAGTACAGTAGTGGAAGGCTGCAGGATAACCATGTACAGCCATCAGATAACTGGAGTACCGCGGGACAAAACCCCATCCGGTACAAACAGGAGTGCACAAGGCACGAAATAGGAGTGCTAGCACCAACAGGAGTATCACGGGACACAACCCGGACCGATACAAAAACAGGAGTCGCCACGCGATTACCCCAGCCCGGCTAACTGAACAGAACAGGAGTACCGTGGGTCGTCACCCAATCGGCACGG